AACACAGTTGGGGTTGAGAAAGGCAAGGGAATGAATAATTCCAACTGATTCTGCAATGATAAGTTGGAAGATTGGTTTGATTACGGGAGGGACCTCAACCAGGTAAGGTTGAGATTACAGAGATGCATTAAACTCAACCAATAAATAACCTATGTCATACAACTCTGGGAACACCTCAGTGCCGGTCAGTTGTTTAGGGAGATTGAAGCCAAGTTGCTATAGAGCCGAGGTTTCGAGTGAGTGCTGCTCTCAGATCGCAGAAAATTGGCAAGGGACACAAATCCCACGTCTGTCCTCACTTCTCGTGTCCCCATCATCAATCGTCAGTGTCCCACGGACTGACAATGTCCATTGTGCTGCATTTGATGGCTTCGTTGCATTCTTAGGGATCTCGCCTTTTAATAGAGTTGCTCGCTTGTATCCGTCGCTCGTTGTCATGCAATCCTGAGAGAAATTCTTATTTCTACGGCATACCCATCCATTCTCATCATTGCAGAGCACTTCATGACAATAAGCTCACTGGCACAATTCCCGCTGAAATCGGCAACCTTGCAAAACTAAACGAATTGTGAGCTCCTGGCAATGCCCTTGCTTGGCTGTACCCAGCTTCTTCTCCCTTCTACTTTCCGTCATTTCTCCTCCTTTTGATGCTAGTCCTGACCCATGCACTCCATTGACCCCTCTTTCTTTATATCCACTCCATCAGCTCCACTGACCACCACCCTCTCTTTCACACTGCTGTCTAGAGCCGAGGTTTTGAGTGCCTGTTGGGCTCAGATTCCGAGCAATTGGCAAGGCTCTCTTACAAATCCTTTACATTCCGTCCATGCTCCCCTTTCGTCCTTCTCGATTGCCCTTGTCTGTTTCCCCTCCTCCCTCTCTATGTTTCTTTCATAGATCCTTTCTCCCTCGTTCCCTCTATTACCTTCTGTCTTTTCCAGTCCTGTAACCTCAAATCCTCTGCATTCTTCTAGCATCTCGCCCTTCCTTCCCCCACACCTCTCATCCCTCCTTTCCTCCTGATTTCCTCCCCTTTCCTTATCCGTCCTTGGTTTCGCCTCTCTCTTTCGACCTTCCACCGCTCTCTTGCCTGTGCTCATTCTATGCATGCCTGAACTCGTCTTTGTCACGTCTCCTGCCTCAAGTTCGTCCCCTGCCACTGTCAGCACACATACCACCCCACCATGGACAATGTCCATCGCACTGCTTTTCATGCTTGTGTGTTTTGTGATTTTGTCTCTCAATGGATTTGCTCGCTCCATGGAAGCTTGAGCTTCATTTCTCTTCTCTGCATGCCCGTTTATGCTCATTTTGGCAGATATCTTGATAACAATCAACTCACTGGCACAATTCCTGCTTCAATGGGGAACTTTGCAGGCCTGATTTATCTGTAAGCCCCCTGCAAGGCCTTCGCTTGGCTGTACTCCAGGTTCTTCTCCTCTCTACTCTCCTCCAGTTGTCCTCCTTTTGATGCTAGTCCTGACCCCTGCACTCCATTTACCCCTCTTCCTTCTTATCCACTCGCATCAGTTCCGCTGACCACCACCCTCTCCTTCGCTGTATCCTGTGGTTTTGGTGTCAGAAGAGTAGGTTGAATTGATGGCCTAGGAAAGAAAGCACTAGGCCTTATGTATAAACACGGTTGGGTTTGAGAAAGGCTGAGACCTCAACCAGGTATGGTTGAGATTACAAAGATACACTCTACCTAAAAATTACCCATGTGATGCTGAGCTGACAGCCTTACTCTAACACTTGGTCCTAGTAGTGCACATGCGGCTTTACCCATGAGATCTTAGATAAGAAGGTAGAAGTTATTTGGTTAGTGTGGAGGGTGTGCACACTACGTTGTCTGTCTGCAGACATGCAACTGAGTCTGACACAACCCTCCTCAGTGCCGGTTGGTAAGGGAGGTTGAAGCCAAGTTGTTATCTAGAGCCGAGGGTTCGAGTGCCTGCTGTTCTCAGTTTACGGGAAATTGGCAAGGCACACTAAGTGCACGTCTCTCCTCACTTCTCCTGCTCATCAATCGCCAGTGTCCCACGGACAATAGCCATCATGCTGCATTTGATGTCTTTGTTGCATTCTTAGGGATCTCCCCTTCTAATAGAGTTGCTTGCTTATCTGTAGCTTGTTGTCATGCAATCTTGAGAGAGATTTGTATATCTATTGCATACCCATTAAATCTCAACACTGCAGATCAATGTCACACAATCAGCTCAGTGGCACAATTCCTACTGAAATTGGCAACCTGGCAAAACTTAACAAAATGTGAGCTCCCGGCAATGACTTTGCTTGGCCGTACTCCAGCTACTTCTCCTTTCTACTTTCCGCGATTTCTCCTCCTTTTGATGCTATGTTTAGTCCTAACCCATGCACTCCATTGACCCCTCTTTCTTTATATCCACTCGCATCAGCTCCACTGACCACCACCCTCTCCTTCAGTGTATCCTGTTGGGGAAGGCACACTGCTGTCTAGAGCCGAGGGTTTGAGTGCCTGTTGGCTCAGATTCCAGACATTTGGCAAGGCACTCTTACAAATCCTTCACAAGCCTATGTCCTCTCTGCTACATTTCCTCCGGCTTCTCTCTCGTCCCTCTCCATTGCCCTTGTCTGTTTCCCCTCCTCCCCCTCCACGTTCTTTCATACATCCTTCCCCCCCATTCCTCTTGTAACCTTCTGTTGTTTCCAGTCTCGTAACCTCAAATTCTTTGCATTCTTCTTGCATCCTCCTTTCCTCCCCTCACACTTCTCTCATCCCGCCATTCCCCTTATTCTCCTTCCCTTCCCTGTCTATCCTACCTTGGTTCGCCTCTACCTTCCATCTTCCACCGCTCTCTTGCCTATGCTCTTTTTTTGGATGCCTGGCATGCCTTGGAGCTGGCAAATATCTCCTCTTTCTCTGCCCACATCCATCCCATGTTATTGTCAGCGTCACATTTTTGTGAGGTAGACATGAGCGTCGGGTGAACACCAAAGATGTTCGCTCGAACCGTTACGAACATGTTTTATGGCTGAACCGAACATGTTCGGTTTGCCAAGACATTTTGTTTGGGCTTTCATATGTTCAGTGTTCACCCTAGGCGGACGAGACGCACGAAGAATGATGCAGTTGTAGGCCGATAAGGAGGGTGAGGAGGAGCAATGGGGTTGGGGTCCACACGGGCAGCAAAGATGTGACAGACTGCAAGCTCCTCATGACTAAAGGTCCTCAGACATGATGTCTTTCACGGTGCAAATAGTTCCAGTAAAGGTATTAAACGAGTTTGTTGAGACAGGTCGACCCAATCAATTATCAAATTACGACTTGATCTAAGGACGCGTCTCCTAAAGCGGATTGATCTGCTGAAAGATTGGAATTGTGCGTTGGGTGTAGCAATGTATCCTCGCAATTAAAAGGTAACCATAACTCGCCAAGGGTTGCGAATTTACAATACATTGTGGCCACGATCTTGTCACCTACACGAGCCCCGATCGAATTTCGCGAGGTGCCCATATCAATTGTGAAATTAGATCGGGTAGTGTGGAATTTCGCGCCCAGGCTGGCAAGCACGATCGATCACCTTCGCTCGTCGTCGCATAATCACTGCGCAACATCGCATACAGAGGGGTGTGCCTGTGAGATTGTCACGTGCAAACCCAGAGGTTTGGTCGCAGGTTTGTTGTACCACTATCCCAAACCTGCCTTACAAAGCCTGTCACCTATATATAGGTGCGCTGTAGTTTTGCAGCCTTGGGCACCGGTCGCTCCCAAGCCTGGGCTCGAAATGACAATCGGTGCGGTTTGGCCGACCCTCGGCCAATCTGCTTCTGGAGACGCGTCCCAATGGCAGTCACAGCTAGAGGGTAGGCTTAACCACCGACCAGCGCGGATCGATAGGTGAAATTGCCGATCCGCGCGGATTGGCGGAGGAAATCGCATATCCTAATCGCTAATTGGTGGGGAAAGTCGGACATAATAAAACAAATACAATTTGCTCATTACGGAAAACATATACTATGACCCGACTCGACCCGGCCGGGATGAACGCTCAAGCCTACTTCAACCTTCCGTCCTTTCCAGTATTAGGACTTCGGAAAATTTGCACGCTTCTTGCATCCCTCTATTCCTCCCTTCATACCACTATCTGAATCATCCCTCCGTTCCTCCTCATTCATTCCTCTTCCTTTATTCCTATCCACTTCCACCCCTCTCCTTTCAATCTACGTTGACGGGTCACACGAAGTGCACATTGTGGCGGGACCCGGCCCGGCCCCGGTCGGGCCCTAGACTTGTTTGCCTCACTAAAACAGGCCCAAAACACCATTTACCTATAAAGAAAGTGCACTTGGGCCGGGCCGGGCCCGGGTCCCGGTTCGGGCCTTGCACGGCCCGAGTTGGCCCACCCTGGCCCGGGTACAAAATGGGCGGCCCGGGCCAGGGTCTTGCTCATTCGGCCCGGGTCGGGCCGGGCCTGGATTTTTCATGGGGCCGGCCTGGCCCGACCCAGGGGCCCGGCCCGGCCCGTGCTCAACCCTACCCCGGACAATGTCCATCATACCGCCTTTCATGTCTCTCTTGCACTCAGGAATTTCACCTGCCAATGGTGTTGCTTGCTCCTATCCGCTGCTTGTTGCCATGCACTCATGAGCTTTCCGTATCTACCACATGTGCAGTCTTGTTCATCGTCGTCGTAATCAGCTCATTGGCTCATCTATGCCTCCATGTCTCCTCCGTCTCTTGACCTGTTTTTGTGTGTGTGCGTGTGTTTTTTTCTCTTATTGTTATTATTATTATTATTATTATTATTATTATTATTATTATTATTATCATCATCATCATCATCATCATCATCATCATTATTATCATCATTATTATTATTATTATTATCATCATCATCATCATCATCATCATCATTATTATCATTATTATTATTATTATTATTATTATTATTTCCTCCTTGATTTCCTGGCATTCAATCTTGTGTAGGCATAGACACAGAACCAAAATAAATTGGTCTGGTTTATGTGCTGTCTGTTTGAACCGCCTCAACCCCCGAAAGAAGAACCGGTTCAAATCCAACCGGTTTGTGAGCATTCCGATTCTTTCTTGTTTCAACACTTATGAATTGAAGTGGTTCATGCTTGGTTCGATTTTGGAATACACCTGCTGTAATATCTTGCTCTATACAACATCCATAGGATAGATTCTGAGGTGTAGTGTAGTAATCTCACCTCGTGGCTGATTGTTGAGTATACCCTCCAATGTGGCTAAGCATCTGGTCGACAGTCGACCCGACTTGATCATCGGGTTGGTGCAGGCGACTGCCCGCATGGTAAGCCAGTTGGCTCAATAAACTTGTTGACACTGTAGCTTTCAACTCAATGAACTTGCCGGCACTTAACAATTAACAATGCCTTGCAAGAACAGTCTCACAAATTTTACTCAGTCCAGCCAGTGCACTTCGTGGGAACATTATATGCACACGCTTTCACCTCTGATACCTTGTTGCCAGTTTTCAAGTGGTTGGAAGCACCTCGAACCCCATTCCTCTATCCCACATGTTGCTGTGCTGTGCCATCCTCAGTGACCTCAGTGATAACCAGCTGACTGGCACGATTCCTTCAACAATTGGGAACCTCTTTGAGCTGCGAACATTGTGAGTGGGGTCACCCAAGTGCCAGCTCGGCTCCGCTGTGCAGTGCAATGCAATGCAGTGCCACGAATATCTTCCATACCACATGCCTCCAATGGAAATCTTACTCGCTGGAATGTCCGCACATGCCCTGCTGAGTTGAGCTCCTCACACACCCAGCTGCTGCATCCCATGCGTGTATCGCTGCTGCATCCTATGCGTGTATCGCTGCTGCATCTCATGCGTGTATCGCTGCTGCATCCCGTGCGTGTATCGCTGCTGCATCCCATGCGTCTATCGCTGCTGCATTCCATATCCATTCTCCAGTTCGCTTTCCTGCTCATGCCTGCTTTCGTGTAATCAGGTCCCTGCATCTCTACCTGCATCGCTCGTTCATCTCACTCATCCTACGTCCTCCCCTTTGCCTGTTCCTTTGATTCAATCTAACCTTCCATTATTCGCTCCTTACCCACATTCAGTTTTGGTCAATCAGCTATTCAATCATCTCTGTCTCTCTTTGGCAGTGACCTGAGTAACAACAAGCTGTCTGGAACTATACCGGACGAAATTACAGGCTTGGTCTACCTCACACTGCTGTAAGGCTCTCACTGTTGAAAGCCTCACACCTAGCACGCCCATTCGAGCAGGCCCTTCCCCTCTCCATGACATGTGGCCCAGTGCACTGTTGCGCAGGTGCATGCTCTGTTTCCATGAGTTTATGCAGTTGATAACTTGCATACGCCCAGTACACTGTTGCTTGCTTGGTTGCCATGCGTGTGTAGACCCTGTCCCACCGTTGCCCACCTCTGGATCCAACCAAGCTTAACCACAGCAACCATGCCCAACACATCTTAGCATCTTGTTTGCTTCCTCTTGCACTCTGTCTGTGAATCTCCACCTTCCTGTTCTCTCCACATGAAGGGATCTGAGCTCAAACCGTCTTTCTGGCACCATACCCCAAGGGCTTTCTACTCACGCCAATCTAGAAGTTCTGTAAGTCCCCCACACACCACCAAACCCATAAAAGGCGTATACATAGACGTAAAGTACCAACTTAACCACCAACTCAGTTCTCCAATACTCGAGTGTATTTATTTAATCTTTCCACTACCAGCCTCCAACCATGCGAATAAGAATATTTGCCCTCTTGTATCCGCTCTTCCCTGTGTTTTTCGGTCCCGTTCCCCATCCTCCCATTTTTTCCCCATCCGCCCATTTTTTCCCCATCCTCCCATTTTTCCCCATCCTCCCAGTTTTTCTCCCATCCTCCCATTTTTTCCCCACCCTCTCATTTTTTTCCCCATCCTCCCATTTTTTCCCCATCCTCCCACTTTTCCCCATTCTCCCATTTTCACCCCATCCACCCATTTTTACCCCATCCACCCATTTTTACCCCATCCTCCCATTTTTACCCACAGCAACATGAGGAACAACCAGCTCACAGGGAAGGTCCTCGAGCCCGTGCCACCGGCAATTAAGACATACAAGCTGGACAAAAACTACTTGACTGAGGGATTCACGTCTCCCCCACCATGCGGTCAGGCCTACATCACATACCAAAGCAACTGTGCAGACACGCCAGCAGAGGGCCTTGCGTGTGAAGACAGCACTCAGAAGACTGACCCCGTGTGCTCTGCCTTCTGCGGGGTCTCACCCACTTCCCCCGCCTGCAACGGCCATGGCGTGTGCTTCTTGGACGGCCCCAGCAACACGCCCAAATGCCTATGTGACGAAAACTTTGTGATTGGGGAGTTTCCTGGCAGCTGCGTGGCTGTGGCAGGTAAGTGAATCAAACCCATCACGCATGCAGCATCCCATGGCATGCCTTGCCCCTATTTCACTTACACCGATTTGACTCTGCCAAGCACACCATACTTTCATACTTGTCTTTCTCAAGTGCCTTTCTAATGGTGGGCAAGCGCCCATTTTGAGGGCCACAGTCTGAGCTTACCTCTCCAACCGTCTCTATGCCCCGCTTCCCACATTCAGGTGGTAAGACGGAGCAGCAGCAAACTCCCACAGCAGCCACGCTCACAGCCACTGGCGACGCCTCAGTGGGCACAACAGCCACGCTCACTCTCACGCCCGCCCAGCCGTCCAAGGCTGGCAGTGTGTTCCTGGCAGCGCGCGTGCCGCTCTTCTCCTACCAGCTCATCGGGGACACGTGTGGCCGCGAGCTCGCCTTTTCCTCCTCCTTCTCCTTCACTCTTACCCGCCCCGCTGCTTCCGGCTCTGAAGGTTTTGCCTTTGTGGTGGCCTTTGATGCCACCCCGCCCACAACACCGGTGGCGGGCGGCATGGGGTATGCGGGGATGGGAGCGCGCAGCGTGGCAGTGGAGTTTGACACGTCGATGGATGCAGGCAACAGCGACCCTGACAGCAACCACGTGGGCATCAACACCGGCGGCAGTGTCACATCAGTGGTAACCGCCAAGCCCAGCACCCCTCTCAATGACGGCAAGACCAAGCACGTGTGGATCACGTATGACCCTTCCTCCAGTGGCTCCCTGCGTGTCTTCCTCTCCTCCAAGGCGTCCCCTCGCCCCACCAACCCCCTCCTGTCGGCACGCATCTCCCTGTGTGAGGAGCTCGCTCCCTCCCCATCGGAGTACACCTTTGCCATCGGCTTCACTGCTGCATCGGGCACCCAGGCTCAAAGCCATGTTGTCTCCGCCTGGACCCTCTCCACCTGTGAGTGCACCTCTCCAACTTCGAGTGCACCCATGCGTCCTTCCTTGTCTCTCACTTGTTGTTCCTGACTTTTGTTTTTCGGTAAGGAAATAAGTTTTACAACTATTTGCATTGACTATAGCCTTACCACAATGAAAAGGCTATGACATTGTTTGACCTTTTCCACTTTTCTGTTTTTGTTTCTTTTCTTTGTGTGCAGACTTTCCTATCCAGCCAGCTCCAGGTACGATGTTCTACCCTTCCTGTTTTTCTCCTTATGAATTTGGGTTTCATCCATAAACCAGTTTCGATTTTGGTGCTGAGTAGTTCCTTTAACAATCCTCCTTGTGTCCACCTTGTACCCTTTCTTCAATCGCAGTGGCGGCGCGGGGCTTTACCTACAGCGAGGCGGCGCTCTCTCTGTCGGGGATGAATCTCTTCTTCCGCTATGCCAGCTCGGGCAGTGCTGCTGCTGAGGGTGGCCGCGACGTGTATGGTGTGCGCCCTGCAGCTTCCTGGGCCAGGCCTGACTTCACATGGCCTGTCAAGACACAGACAACTTGCGGTGAGTACGCTAGGACATCCGCTAGAACACCAGGTCGTACCACACGGCAATGGCACTCTTTTGGGATGCGGATTGCTTTATCTGATGTTTGTAGCAGGTCTGACTGGCTCTCTCTAGGTGAGTTGAGAGACAGCTCATCATGAGCCGGTCCGTCAAAGTTTGTAACGTAAAGCTGAAAAGGTACATATGACAAAAACATGAGAAGTACTTATGTACCGAGCTATTTCATGGCATGCAAAAATTTACTAATTACTCTTAATATGAATAGAAACGAGTTTACTTTCTTTTCTTGGTAAGGAGAGAAGACAGCCTTAGCAGCTCCTGCGAAGTCTATGCGTCTATGCATGAGTGGTGTGACTCAATCTTATGATGGGAGACATGTGCATAGCTAAGTCAAAAATGAACAAGGATGAGATTCCTGGATAGCTTACTGCTCAAATTGCTCAGCACAAGGCTACGTTCGGGGTTGGGAGGAAATGAGAACAAAGGCAATCTCACTGCCGTTTGATACTGTTGGAGATGAAGCCAATGGCTTTCTTGAAGATGAGAAGTTCGGGCTACATCTGGAAGAGGGGTTGTGATGTCATGTTGCTGTTGTCATGTTGCTGTATTTGTGTTGCTCAAAGGCTCGTTTCTTTCTTTGGCACCAGGGTTGGCACATAGTTATCTTCCGCTTCCCTTGTGGTTGTTCGATGGTTCGTTCTTCCTGAATGCTGGCGCTTGGTTTCAGCTGCATGCTGTATTAGGTCGTTCATTTCAGTGAGGAGATAGGGGTTTGGATGGCCTGGTTTGGGCACAAGCAAAAAATTCGTGGGTAGGTGAAGGGTGGGGGAGGGTAGAGGAGGAGATGGAAATGGAGGAAAGCCCTACTTGCCTGGATGTGAGTAACAGAGCGGGTCGGGGCAAGAAAATGCTTGACTTGACCAACACTCGACCTGCCTCGATACTAGAATGGGTTTCCCTGGGCTCGTCTTTTCCTCGTGCATGGGGTGGTCTTACTGGTCTACTACTGCAGCAGATGCTGGTGACAACTATCAGCCTTCACACATTGCTTGTATGCAGCTTTTCCAATCCTTAGCACTCAAACATGCATGTTTACTCAAAGCAATCCTCACACGCCACGTGTTTCTTTTGTGCAACCTACGCAACCCATGCGTTTCCTGGCAGGCGACTGCTGGGCGTATGCAGTGGTGGGCAGCATCGAGGCCGCACTCGGCATTCTCGCCAACGCTGCAGTGGCGCCGGTGCTGTCAGTGGAGCAGCTGAAGGCCGCCATGAAGGTCGGCTGCTCTGGCAGCACGCCCTCGCAGGCCTTCCGTCTGCTGCTCAAGCAGGCACAAAAGGGAGGCGGGCTCGTGCCAGACAGGCAGTGGGCGAAGGGCAAGGCCGTAAAGGCAGACAGCAGCGGTTCGCTTTGCGCGCCGCTCATGAAGCCACTGGCGAAGCTGCTTGGTGTGTCATGTGACGGGGGCAGTGGAAGTGTACGTGCTCATAGACATGCCGAATTTATTCAGCGCATGCTGCTTTGTCGTTGGATTGGTTTATTCCTGTGCTGCTTTTAGGCAAGCTCTAGTTTTTCTGTATGCTGAGTGCATGTATGCTTGCTTGCTGTTCCATCAATCCTCCTCCATACCCCATCCTTCACGTCCACCACCAGCCCTCCGGTGGGTTCTCCATCAGCGGCTTTGAGTCGACGTCCTTCTACGGCTGGTTTGGGCTGCTGCTGGCCGTGCAGCGGCAGCCAGTGGTGGTGCACATTGAGGCTTCCGCCGCGTCCTTTAAGGATTACGATGGGGTGAGGCGAGTAGAGTGTGTGCGAATGAATAGCAGCAATGGTTCTGAATCATTAAGGGGGCATGTGTGATTGTCCTTCCATGAATAATGTGCGATTCGACCCTTCCTTTCCATACACGTGTTCCCTTAACACAAGCACGTGGCGGCTAAAAACTTATGAATGACCCGCACTTTCCATATGATGAATAACCTATGAATGACCCGCACTTTCCGTATGATGAATAACTTATGAACGACCCGCACTTTCCGTATGATGAGTAACCTATGAATGACCCTCACTTTCCATATGATGAATAACTTATGAATGACCCGCACTTTCCGTATGATGAATAACTTATGAACGACCCGCACTTTCCGTATGATGAATAACCTATGAATGACCCTCACTTTCCATATGATGAATAACTTATGAATGACCCGCACTTTCCGTATGATGAATAACTTATGAATGACCCTCACTTTCCACATGATGAATAACTTATGACGGACCCTCACTTTCCATAACATGTGCGCATTTCTATGATGAGGGAATGGAAGGGTGTGAATGATTCCGACGGTGTGTGTGCCTCCATATAGAAGGGTGTTTGTGAATGAATAGGTGGACGTGTGTGTAACTTCTGCTGCACTCTTGAATGTCCATGGCACTTTGGTTGCACCTTTGGTTGTGTCATATCGCACCCACCTCGTTCTGCAAAGCACTTTCCAATGGCAGATGCCAAATCGCTCATTACGTTGGTCTACCTTATCCATTCATGTCTTCCTCCAGCTGTCCAAGTACCAGGACCCAGCGTGCTTCACGTACAACCTGAACCACGTGGTGCTGCTGGTGGGGTACCGCCTGGTGGGCAAGGACTCGCGCTTCCCCCACATGGCGCCGCCCTTCTGGATCATCCGCAACTCATGGGGGCCTGACTGGGGCGATGGGGGCCACATGCGCATGGACATCCAGGGAGGGGATGGCATCTGCGGCATCAACTCCCTGCCAGGCCTCTACCCTGTGGTCAGAGGTGAGTGGGTGTGATTTCAAAGGTGAGTGCATGGAATTTTTTTGTATTACACACACCAGTACAATTCATGATTTACAGGTTTCTATGATGAGTATGTCACCAAGGTGAGTGAATGTCAAAGGTGAGTACTTGGGCCACTGTAATTCGTTGTACTCATCAACCGGTTATACTCCCACCATTTCATGTCTTACTACCCATCTCTGCAGTGCTGGCCCATGCGAACCCACATGCGTTGCTTCTTGGCACTCCCTGCGCGCCCTCTTTCTATCCACCTGCAGGCACCTCTGACCCCTGCAGCTTAAAAGCCAGCAATGATAACACTGGTTCATTATTCAACCCCTGTGGCAAGTTCACGTGCATTGTGAAGGGCTCAACAAACGAGTGTGACTGCAACGACCCGCGCTTCATCCAAGCAACCAACGCCGATGGCTCTCGCACATGCGCCTACAGTAAGCCGATGCTGCTATTGCAGCTGCTGCTGTTGTTGGTCCTGCTCCTCCTGCTCCTGCCCCTCCTGCTATTGCCCTCCTGCTGTTGCTTCTTGAATCCTCTCACTGCTCTCATGGCCTCCATGTTCTTTCATTCCTCCCCTTCCCTCGCTTTTACCACCCTCTTTCCCTACCCATCCCTTTCCTCCACGCCCCGCCATGCTCCTCGTCAGAGGATGCATGCAAGGCAGCCAAGCGCAACCCGTGTGCGGTGGGCACGTGTGTGAATGATGGGGCGGGGTCGTACTCGTGTGTGTGTCCACCGGGCTTCAGGCAGGGCACCACCATCGATGGCACCTTCTCCTGTGCTCCAGGTACCTTCTCCTGTGCTCCAGGTACCTTCTCTCTATGCTCTAATGTGTATACGCAATACGCTGCGCTGTAAGGGTTTCGGTACAGACAGAACACTCAGTCCCGGAGATTCTATAAGGGCTGGAAATTTTAGAGGTGAGGATTGGCGAGCCTCAATGCACCAACAACCCCCATCTACTCCACGTGCCCACAGTTTAACTGTGGGAGAACATGGAACGCCTTACAGCGCAATAAGGGAAAACAAGGAAAGTAATAAGAGAAAGCACTGAAGGAGAGTATTGAATGGAGATAGAGTTATTTTTTGTGCTAGAAGAGGAGTCTGGTTGGAACCAACTCTTACAACGGTGAACGGGAAGGTTTGTTGATTATCGGCTTTGAAAACCAAGATCCAAGCTGAAATCACGATTCACCAAGATCAAACATGAGTTTCCCACGTCCGAGCTCAAACTCAACAACTTTTTCCGGTCTGCCTGTGCGTATTCCAGCGTATCCACCCTTATAACAAAGCGTACATGTCTTTGTTGCGATTATACTCAATATGCAAATTCGTCTGAGCGTTTTTTTAAGCTCCGCGTACCTTCTCTTGTGCTCCAGTCGCGTTCTCCTGTGCTCCATGTTGCTTCTGCTATGCTCCGGATTCTTGTTTTGCTCAGAAAGAAAATGGCCTCACACACAGCATACTATGAATGGATGTAGGGCAAACAGGCGGAAATCTCCAGGAGATTCATCCAGAGTATAGTTACATAGATGAATCAAGCTCGGAATGAAATGTTTGCGCTTGTGCTGCATGCAGGTGGTACCAACACCACCTACACAGTGCTCTCTCCAAACGTCCGCTGTTCCGATGTCTTCCCGGTTTATGGCCTCACGCTCGCCCAGTTCCAAGCCCAGAACGTGCGTTACTCTCCATAGGCCCAGTTATTCAAGTGCATTCATAGCACCAAAAAATGTGTTTCCTACACCTACACGTCTGGCCTAACTTCGCCCCCGCTCTTCCTCCTCATCGTTCGAGTCCACCTGCGATTCCATTCTCTGTCTTTTAGCTCGTCACTCAAATTCTCCTGCCCCCTCCACGTCCGCGTAAGGGCATGCGTGTCTCTCATGCCTCTCATGCCTGCGTGGGTGCATGACGTGTCTCTTATGCTTCTCCCTCGTTGTGTGCAGCCATCGGTGTCGTGTGCAGACCCCATCCCACCCTCCACTGTGCTCAAGGTGGCCAGCCCAGCCTCTCTCATCCCCTGCTCCGTCTTCTACACCACTCAGCAGGTCCCTACCTCGAACCCTTCCTGCCATTTGCGCCAACTTCTGGACTCCTTCCTGACTATGCATCATCTTTTCCATCTTCCTCAATATCCTCATCTTCCTAACGTCCATCAATGTGCAGCACCCAATGCCCTCCATCCCACTTCAAACATCTTAACAAAAAATTGCATTTTTTATACCTCAGATTCACCATTCGTTTAACCTCTCTACCTTTGTTGAGGGACGCACTCACACTCTCTTACTATCTGCATATCCCTGTGCATCTCTCCCTCCTCTGTCTCCCTTCATTTTTTCACCTCACATTCCTTTACCAAGTGGATCTCTCACATTCTCCCAATTGCTGATTCCTCTGCCCTCCACATCCCCTCCAGCACCGCCTCCCCCCCCCCCCCCCCCCCCCCTAATCATCTCATCCTCAGGGAGACACCTGTGCGGCCGTGGCCGAGTACTTCCAAATGGACTCGTCTTGCCCATCTGCCACCTGCACGGCTGCCTTCCAGGCGCTCAACCCCAGCCTGGACTGCACTGCCAACGGCGGGCTGCTGCAGCCCGAGCAGGCGGTGTGTGTGGAGCGCAGAAGGGATAAAGTGGGGCTCATCCCGGTGTGCTCGCAGTACTACCTGGTGCAGAGCGCAGAGACGTGCGAGTCCATCCGGAACGTGCCCTACCCCCCTCTGAGCCCCGTTGACTTCTTCCGCCTCAACCCCGGCATGAAGTGCAACCGCCTCATTCCAGACACCGACGTTGGTAGTTTCACTGGCTTTGAGGTGCGTGTGGCACCGGCTCTGCTCATGCCTCTCTGCCCTTCCTTGTGGACCAGCGTTCCTTCGTCCCAGTCTTATTTTAACCGACTCGTTGTCTCCTTCATGCTTACTGCCTAGCGGAGACCAACCCGTGGGTGTCTCATAACTGCTGCTGGTGCTGCTGCCGCCGCCGCAGCTGCTGCTGCTGCTGCCGTCTATTGCTCATTTCTCTCTATTTGCAGACACGAACATGTTGGTCCTCTTGTGACCGCTGTCCTCTTCTCTTTTTTCTCTCTCTCTCCCGCTTCCCCTCAGGCATGCATTGCGAGCTCCACTTCCTACACTCAGGGCACGTGCCCGCGTGCGAATGCGTATGTGGTGGGGACAGGCGACAGGTGCACGGCCATTCAGGTGAAGTACTTCCGGGGCATCAAGGGGTGCTACAAGCACATCAACGGATACGACTGCATCGACAAGCTCATCAAAGCAACCCGCGTGTGCCTGCCTGACAAAGTCAAGCTTCAGAAAGGAGTGTGCGACAACTGACGTCCTACATGCTGCCTCTGCATTTGCAGTGCTAGCCGGGTCTGGCTAAGTCGTTGCATTTTTACAACCAGCCTTTGCAATCGCAGATGATCCTAGTCGGGTGTGTGTATGCTCCTCATGGTGTTTCGCTCCACCACACGCAATGATTATAATAGGACGTAACTTACTTCCATCGCACGTTAATGTCTCGTAGGGCTAAGGAGGGAGGAGGGAAGGAGGGGATCCTGGGCTATTTTCACTTGAACAAGTTTAGTCTTTCTCTTATTTTTGGGTTGCGAAGCAACCTATTACAATCGTTATGTACAATTTTTTTTTCATCCTCTATACATAAAAAAAAAAAAGGATGAAAAAAATCTAGTGAATTGTAGCTAAGTGACTGACTGTTATGTATTTGCCATGTCAATTTATCACATGTTGAACCACATTTCTTTTGATTTCCTAGTTTGCTTTGACTGAACCTACACTTCATGAAATGCCAAAATGATGTACTGCGGACGCGTAACTGCTTATTCCGTAATGCATATGCCCGATGATGTTATGCGTAGATGGATTAAATGCACAATGCATAATTATAATGTATATGCTACTGTGGTAGTGAAATGAATGCATAGCATGATGAAAATGCGTAACAGTTAATTGAACCAGATCCTATGCTACCGCATCCCCTGCCTAGCATGGGGGGGAGCTCAATAGCATAGTTCCTGAGTCATCCAACTGTCACATGAAACAACACAATCTGTGTGATATAAAAAAAAAAAGGTCAATTCCATCAAATCCAGTTCAAATGGACACACTCACTGAGTGCGCAAAGAACCTTCTCGGAAATGATAGTTTGATCCCAATTTTTTAAAACCCACAGACATGTGTTATTAATGCAATAGAAACATGAATGAAGACACATACACACACAACACAACGCATCGCATGATCATACACATTCACACATGCGCGCACGCACAAAGCCAACTGACAAAGCATATTAACCGCATATGAAATAAAAACCTAAATCACCAAGACATCATGTATCCTATACCGTAAGTTACAAGCAATATCAGTTTACTTCTCATATTGAACTCGATTGCCTGGAGGGAAAGACAAAACTGGGTTGAGGAAGGGAAGGCAAGTGGGAAATAACAAGACATAACGGTGTCAAACATTGTATGTTTATATTGTGTAGGCTGTAGTGGGTTACACCTTAGGGGGTACACAAAGTTAGGGTTTCCTACTTGTACCAAACTCTGAGCTAGTTCATTCATTCCTCGTTCAGTTATTCTGACATGGTATCAGAGCAAGAGTTCCAATCCTTGGAACCTGTGGTAATTTCTACAAATGGGCCCACCACCTGAATCATCACCAGGAGCATCTCCTGGAGCAGATCGAACGTGCAACTTCCCACGGATCATTACGTGGAGGAATTCTTCAACGTGCCGCCGACGCAACATTTCGAGCGACTCGGCGAGACGCCTTCCAAGGCGTTCCGGCAAATTCACCGGCAAAGACATCACCGTTTCAACCTGGGAGAGCTTCATCTCTCCTCGTTTCTACACTTCTAACAGTGGAGGGGAGTGTTGAGAATATGTTTGTATGCTTTTATTATGAATGCACTGTTCGAAGTGTGCTTACAGGGGCTCGCCATAGCGAGGGATTTGAACCTGGTGGCGAGTCAACGGGGCGCAACCGAGCACAGCGGTTGCGACCCGCGTGGCAGTTCACTAGTCGAATCGACAGCAGGAGGCATCGTCTACAGTACGCAAAACTGACCTGCGGGGCGCGGCAGGATACCGCGCCCTTGCCGAAGCTGAAAAGTCTCGCCAGCGCGACTGTAACAAGGCAACCCAAGCGACGCAGCGCAACTGTTATACAGTTGCGCCTTGGTAACTGTTTCCCTATGCGTTTGCTATATAACAGAATGTAATGCCTTGCTCATATTACACAATTCCCAAGCTTGTGTCCGGCCTACCCTCGGCCGCTGCTCTGGCACCAAGTTACAAGCTAAGAGAGCTACCTCTGAGTGACCATTGCCCCGCCGTAGGGACGTCGTTAATTCCTAGAGCTTCCGCTGCGCTCTAGCGACTTCTTATTTCTGACATGGTTTCAGAGCAGGTCCTTCGCTAGGACCTAAGTTTTTTTTTCGGGCCCACCTCTACTACCTACTTCCTACCTTCTTTCGGAGTGCTGCGTCAGCGCCTCCCCCTCTGCGCCCTCGTGCGCCCTACCTTACGTGTTCCCTTGTGCGCTCTACCTTACGTGCGCCCTCGTGCGCCTTTCTCTGCTAGTGCGCCTTCGTGCGCCCTCGTGCGCCCTCGTGCGCCCTCGTACGCCCTCGTGCGCCCTCGTGCGCTCTCGAGCCGCCCCTGCAGGTCCGTCAGGCCAGTGCGCAGCCTCTGCACGACCGCACGCCGCCCCTGCAGGCTCTCGCCGCCCGCCGAGTCGCCCTGCCCGTGGCGTCACCGCCTCCCCGCGGCGTCGTCGCCTGCCCGCGACGTAGCCCCTGTCCGCGGCGTCGTCGCCTGCCCGCGGCGTCGTCGCCTGCCCGCGGCGTCGTCGCCTGCTCGCGGCGTCGTCGCCTGCCCGCGGCGTCGTCGCCTGCCCGCGGCGTCGTCGCCTGCCCGCGGCGTCGTCGCCTGCCCGCGACGTCGTCGCCTGCCCGCGGCGTCGTCGCCTGCCCGCGGCGTCGTCGCCTGCCCGCGACGTCGTCGCCTGCCCGCGGCGTCGTCGCCTGCCCGCGGCGTCGTCGCCTGCCCGCGACGTCGTCGCCTGCCCGCGGCGTCGTCGCCTGCTCGCGGCGTCGTCGCCTGCCCGCGGCGTCGTCGCCTGCCCGCGGCGTCGTCGCCTGCCCGCGGCGTCGTCCCCTGCCCGCGGCGTCGGCGCCTGCCCGCGGCGTCGTCGCCTGCCCGCGGCGTCGGCGCCTGCCCGCCGCGTCGACCTGCCCGCGGCGTCGCCACCTGCCCGCCGCGTCGCCCTGCCCGCGGCGTCGCCACCTGCCCGCCGCGTCGCCACCTGCCCGCCGCGTCGCCACCTGCCCGCCGCGTCGCCCTTCTCGCCGCGTCGCCCTGACCTAATCCGCCTCTCGCCCCTGGAGCAGCCGCCACTGCAGCAGCAGCCCCTGGAGCAGCCGCCACTGCAGCAGCAGCCCCTGGAGCCGCCCGCCACTGCAGTAGCAGCCCCTGGAGCCGCCCGCCACTGCAGCAGCAGCCCCTGGAGCCGCTCGCCACTGCAGCAGCCGCCCCTGGAGCCGCCTGCCACTGCAGCAGCCCCCTCTGGAGCAGCACGTACCTGCAGCAGCCGCCCCTGGAGCAGCCTCGCCCTGCAGCAGCTGCCGCGGAGCTCCCTGCTACGGCCCGGCCCAGCCCTGCAGTTGTAGCGGCCCCGCTGTCGCCACCGTCTTGCGCCTGCCGCGCCGACCACTGGTGAGCATTGCCCAGCACTGCTACCGCTGCTACTGCTGCTACTGCCTTTTCTACTCCCACTGCCACTGCTCCTGCTGTTACTGCTGTTGCTGCCGCTACTGCTACTACTGCTGCTCCTGGCGTGGCCAGATGCAGCTCCAGGGCCGTGCGCGTGAGTCCCTCACGCCCCAGCAGCTTCGTGCGCGTGAGTGGTACGCTAGTCGGGGCTGTCGGGGTGGCCGTAGTGGTGGTCGCTCTGGAGTGGGTCGGTCGGGAGCTTCTGGTAGTGGACAGGTGCAGCTGCCGTGTCCTCCTTCGCCCCAGCTGCTTCGTGCGCGTGCGTGGTACGCCAGTTGGGGCTATCGGGGTGGCCGTAGTGGTAGTCGCTCTGGAGTGGATCGGTCGGGAGCTTCTGGTAGTGGACAGGTGCAGCTGCCGTGTCCTCCTTCGCCCCAGGTGCTTCGTGCGCGTGAGTGGTACGCTAGTTGGGGCTGTCGGGGTGGCCGTAGTGGTAGTCGCTCTGGAGTGGATCGGTCGGGAGCTTCTGGTAGTGGACAGGTGCAGCTGCCGTGTCCTCCTTCGCCCCAGGTGCTTCGTGCGCGTGAGTGGTACGCTAGTTTGGGCTGTCGGAGTGGCCGTAGTGGTAGTCGCTCTGGAGTGCATCGTTCGGGAGCTTCTGTCAGTGAGGCTGCCGCTCTAGGTGCTAGTACGTCTGTTGCCCTAGGTGCTGGTGAGGCTCCCACTCCCGGTACTCGCGTGTCTGCCACCTCAGGTGATGGTGAGGCTGTCGCTTTAGGTGCTAGTGAGTCTGTCTCCCCTGGTACTGAGTCGACTGAGGCACTGCACACCTTCACCCTGGACTCAGGTGCTTCTCGCTGTTTCTTTCGTGACCGCACTGTCCTTGAGCCGCTTGCTCGGCCAGTTGCTGTCTCCCTCGCCGACCCCTCTGGGGGTCCGGTCGTTGCGACCTCCTCCACTGTCCTTCCTTGTCCTGCGGTCCCGTCAGGCACACTGTCAGGTCTCTACCTCCCCTCGTTCTCTACGAACTTGGTGGCAGGTAGTGCGCTCCAGGACGGGGGTGTTCACCAGTTCACCCCTGCTTACGAGCGCGTGACCCACTGCACGTGTGCTCGGACGGGCCGTCACCTGGCTACCTTCACTCGGCAGCCGGGGTTGGACCTGTACACACTGACCACTGAGTCCTCTCAAATAGCTGCGTCCGCGTCTGCGTCTGCGTCAGGTCAGCTGTCCGCCCCCTGCTCGTGTCGCTCTCTGGCGCATGAGACTGTCCTCTGGCACCACCGCCTTGGTCACCCGTCTGTGCAGCGCCTTCGGGCCATGCACAAACGGGACCTTGTTGCTGGTCTTCCCAGGGTTCTCCCTCCCCTCCCACCCTCGCCTGCTCCTCCCTGTCTTCCCTGTGTTGAGGGGCGGCAGCGTGCCGCTCCTCACTCCTCCTCCTTCCCCCCGACGACTGCTCCTTTGCAGATGCTCCACATGGACGTGTGGGGCCCAGCCCGCGTCCGTGGTCAGGGTCAGGAGAGGTACTTCCTGATTGTTGTTGACGACTTCTCGCGCTACACCACGGTCTTCCCCTTGCGCACCAAGGGT